TACTGAACTCCAAATGGAAACAAGAAGAAAAAAAAGATGTGCGCCGAAAGATTGGGTGTTTTATATATTGTAAAGCTCTTCCATTTAATTTAGTGAATGATCCGTATTGGGTAGCTGCAGTTGATGGAATTGCAAATTATGGACCTGGTTTCAAACCCCCTTCTATGCATGAATTGAGGACTTGGATTCTTAAAGCAGAAGTAGAAGATATAAATGTCATGATGGAGGAACATAAGAAAGCATGGAAACAATATGGATGCTCAATTATGTCTGATGGTTGGACAGATGGGAAAAGTAGAGTTCTTATTAATTTTCTTGTAAATAGCCCTGTTGGAACTTGGTTTTTAAAATCAATTGATGCATCTGATACTATAAAAAATGGGGAGTTGATGTTTTACTATCTTGATAGTGTTGTAGATGAAATTAGGAAAGATAATGTTGTTCAGGTCATCACTAATAATGCTTCAAACCATGTCAATGCTAGGTCGAGACTTATGGAGAAGAGGAAGAAGTTGTATTGGACTCCATGTGCTGCGCATTGTATTGATTTAATGTTGGAGGACATTGGAAAATTGAAAGTCTATGACCAAACTCTCTCGTTAGCTAGGCAAGTGGTCAAGTTCATATATGGACATTGTTGGGTTCTTTCAGTGATGAGATCATTTACAAAGAACAGTGAACTTCTCCGTCCAATAGTAGCACGGCTTGCCACTACTTATCTTACTCTCCAAAGTCTTTACAAACAAAAACAACCACTCCAAGCTATATTTTCTTCAGAAAAGTGGGCTTCTAGTAGTTGGGCAAGAAAGGTTGAAGGGGTAAAGGCTCGCGCAACTGTGTTGTTTGATCCAAAATTTTGGCCTAATGTTGCTTTTTGTATCAAAAGCACAATACCTTTGGTTAGTGTTTTGCGAGAAGTTGATTCAGAGGAGAGGCCTGCTATGGGTTACATTTATGAGTTGATGGATTCGACTAAAGAAAAGATTGCTTTTAATTGTGGAGGAAATGTTGGAAAGTACGGACCAATTTGGAATAAGATAGATGCAAGGTGGACACCACAACTTCATAGACCTTTACATGCTGCTGGTTATTATCTAAACCCTCAGTTGCGCTATCGAGATACCTTCTCCAATGTTAAAGAGGTGAGGCAAGGATTGTATCAGTGCATGGATAGAATGTTGAGTTATGATGAGCGTCTCAAGGCTGATATCCAATTGGACTATTATGATCAAGAAAAAGGGGAATCCGGAAATCGTGTTGCAATTGATTCCAAAGCGATATGCTCTCCCGGTAAGAAACTAATATGAAAATAATTTTCCAATTACATTCTTTAAAATTAAAATACGAGATTGAAATTATTTGTGCATTTTTCAAATTATGTAGCTAATTGGTGGATTTGTTTTGGGAGCAAAACACCAGAGTTAACAAAATTTGCTATTCGAATACTTAGTCTTCGGGATGTGAGAAGAATTGGAGCACCTTTGAGTCGGTAATATATCTTTCTTTCCTAAATTTTCTTATGCATAAAATAAAATATTCATATTTCTAACTTGTTATATGTCGTTTCTTATATTATTATATTAGATTCATACAAAAAAGAGGAATAGGCTTGAGCACAAACGTTTGAATGCTTTGGTATATGTGAAGTACCACACTAAACTAAGAGAGAGGAGTATCAGAAGAAGACAAAACAACGATTCAATACTAATTGATGAAATTGATTCAGATGATGAATGGATTGCTGAAAAAGAATATCCCATCCTCCCCCTTGATGCTTCTTGGCTTGATGAAGAAGAATTGTTCGATGTTGAAGCAATTAGGACTGTGCCTATCACTACCTATGATAGAAGTGTGTAGAATCGATCAACTACGACTACGATTAGTGTTGACTCTTCGAATGCAAAGAAAAGAAAAGTTGGTGAAGGTTCAAGTAAGTTGTTAAACAATTATGGACTAGTTGCATATATATTATTATATGTGTGTATTTAATTAATTTGAAATCCTATTTCTTTGTTTAGGAAATGATAGAGGAAAAGGCAAGGCAGCAAGATGCACCCTTGTAGATGAAGATATAGAGTTGGAAGAAGTTGGTGGAATAGATGATGGAACCTATCCCATTATAGATATAGCGAACGAAGATGATGACAACATTAATGAGGATGACTTAGAGTGACCTATTATTTATTTATTGCTTTGTTTATAGAGTATTAGAGTTTAAGTTATTTTGTTTATTGAACAATTGGAATTTAAGTTATTATGACCATCACTTTAAGTTATTTGTTTATTATAGTATTCATTGAGAATGACTTATAAAGTTCTTATAATACTTGAAATTATTAATTAATTTTGGTTTTATGCTTAGGATGGCTTTTAAGAATTTTATTTAGTAATTCTTATTTTTTTTACTCTTTTTATGCTATATTTAATTAATTTTGTATTTTATAAAAATTAAAAAAAAATCAAAATTCAAAAGGCTTACGCCTCAACGCCTCGAGGCTTACGCCTCGCCTCAACAAGGGTAAAACGCCTCGCCTTTAAAAACACTGGCTCCTGTAGCAAACATGAATTCCATTCGAGCCATCCTTTCATGTGCAGCTAAGTTGGGGTGGCCTTGGCAACAACTAGATGTGAAGAATGCCATTCTTCACAGGAATTTACAGGAGGAAGTTTATATGGATGTGCCACCAGGATTCTCCACTCAGTCTACAGTTAGGAAAGTCTGCAGGTTGAAGAAAGCGTTCAGTCTACAGTTAGGAAAGTCTGCAGGTTGAAGAAAGCGTTATATGGTTTGAAACAGTCTCCTTGGGCTTGGTTTGACAAATTTCTAAAAGCAATGTTGAGGTTTAGGTATAGGTAAAGCAATGCAGATCATACCTTGTTTGTCAAACACAATGCAAATAAGGTAACTATGCTTATTGTATATGTGGATGATATAGTTGTGACAGGGAATGATGAAGGGGATGTAACACATCTGAAGATGCAGTTGGCCAAACAGTTTGAGATCAAAGATCTCAACCCGTTGAGGTACTTTCTTGGAATTGAAGTTGCCAGATCTGACAAAGGCATCTTTATTTCTCAAAAGAAGTACATTCTAGATGTTCTTAAAGAAACAAGCATGTTAGGCTGTAAACCAATTGATTCACCTATTGAGGTTATCCATCATCTTTGCAGTGATGTTGGTAACTTGGTGGAGAAGAAAAGGTACCAAAGACTTGTTGGACGGCTTATATACCTATCTCACACTCGGCCGAATATTGACTATGCAGTTGAGATAGTAAGTCAGTTTATACATGATCCTGGTACAACACATTTGGAGGCTCTGCATCGTATTTTGAGGTATCTTAAATTTGCCCGGGAAAAGGAATTTTGTTTTCTAATCATGGGCACTTGAGGTTGGAGGTATTTACTAATGCAGATTGGGCAGGTTTTGTAGATGACAGGAGGTCTACATCTGGTTACTGCACTTTCGTAGGGGGTAATTTAGTCACTTAGCGTAGTAAAAAGCAGACAGTGGTGTCCCGATCTAGTGCAGAGGCAGAATACCGAGTTATGGCACATGGTACTTGTGAACTCATGTGGCTTCAATCTTTGTTGAGTGATATAAGAATTGTTTGTGGTGATCCTATGACTGTACTGTGACAACAAAGCTACCATCAGTATTGCTCACAATCCTGTTCAACATGACAGAATCAAGCATATTGAGATTGACTGACATTTTATTAAGGAGAAATTGAATAAAGGTTTGATGTGTATGCCTTTTGTGAAGTCGGAAAATCAATTGGTTGATGTGTTTACCAAAGGTCTTAGTAGTAAAATCTTTCATCCAATTTGTTACAAGTTGGGCATGAGAGATATATTCGCACCAACTTGAGAGGGAGTATTAAGTGTTAGTGTCTATGTCAACCATGACACACCATGACATCAGCCCTATTCTGATGTCATGAATGACATCAGTCCTATTTTATGATGTCATCCATGACATCATCCTTATCTTGGTGTCATCATGACATCATCCTAAGAAGCATGGATACGGATACACGATACAACACAGACATGCCAACAAGCTAATTTTCAAAAAATGCAGAACACAACACGTAGGGAACAGGCATAAAATATATAATTTTATATATTTATTATATATTACATATATGAATATATCATTGAAAGATAATAAAAAATACAATATGACACTAATTTCTATAAATTTATATAGTTTTTGTTTTATTATTGTATCTTAAGTTGTTTTGCTCAAACTTATAATAAGTTTCACTTGTGTCTAATCGTGTGTTTAAGCGATGGACATATGTGTCTTCCAAGTGTCCAGAGAGTGTCCGAATCTTTAAAAAATATGACCCGTTTTGAAGAGTGTCAAATATATGTCGAGAAAGTGTTCAAAGTGTCGTTGTCCGACACGAACACGGCATGATATGTCACCTTCTTAGAAGTATCCGTACTTCTTAGACATCAGCCATATTTTATGATGTAATCCATGGCATAAGCCCTGATCTACTTTGGCTTATAAATAGGCTACTTCATCTCATTGTAAAAGACACAATTCTACATATCAATAAAATCTTCTCTCTCTTCTTCTTCATCTATATATCTGACACATATCCATCCATGTTGAACCACTACGAATACCATCTTTAGCAATAACAAAATGCAAAACTATTACACAATTAGAATTGCAGAATGAAATTCAAATCACATGGGTACAATGTTCGAGAAATGAAATTATAAGAGATAAAAGGGAAATAAATAAAGAACAAGCATATCCAACAAAACAAAAATAAATTTTCAAAAGATAAACCAAGAAGAAAACAGTTCACAAATAAAAAATAAATAATAAAAAATAAAAAACTGAGGAACTTCTAGAGCCAATAACAAGTAAATGAATCAATAAAAAGTTGCCAAAATGTGAAAAACTGGGAATCAGCTATCAAGCACGAAGAAGGATTCCAATACAATGAAAGGACCAAAAAAAAATTCTCTATGTTTACCTTATTGGAGAAAGATCAAAGTTAACCCATTTCTTGAAGCTTCTTCTTCCAAGTATTAACAGTGAGTAATTCAATGAAGCGAAAGAATCATCGTTTGCCTACACAAAAACAAGGCATTTGTTCATGTATACGGTTCAAGTATATGCTTAACGCACATAAATACATAAACAAATGGTATATAAAGCATTAGCGTTATGAAATGCAATAACGTAACTGTGACTTATAACAACTGCCAGGAAAGGAGGTTCTTGAAGCACTAGAAACCAAAAGAGGGATATAGACAACGAGTGTTGTATAGAGCGAAACAAATGAAGGAGGTTGGGAAATAAAGTAGATCTAGGATGTACAATGCATGCATAAGAATGTATAATAAGCTCCTCTCTCTCTCTCTCTCACTATCATGTTCTTTTAGTTTGTCTCTTTATCCCCATTAGCTCTGCTCTGCTCCTCTAGAGTAGCTACATGAGTTGCATGGGCTAATTTTTTGTCAAAAATCCTCAAAGCTATTTTCAATTTGGACCAATTAAATACAAATTGCAAAATTAAGGGGCAAACTTGTTACAAAATGAAATTACGTGGATCAAATTGATACAGGGGACAAACTACAAGAACCAGCACTAACTTTTGTTTATTTTCCCATTTTGCATTGTATGGGCACATGAGTACGTGACTATTTCTCTCTCTAAAATCCTGACGAATGTTATCAATTGGACCAATTGGAAACAAAATGCAGAATTAAAAGGCAAAGTTGTTACAATTAGAACTGGAGAGACCCAAATTAACCCCAGGTAAACTACAAGGATTATTATTGTGATTTTACCCTAATAATTTCTATTGTTCTGCACCATTGTACAACTTAATTGATAATCAACATACTACTACACAGACAAACATATCCATGTCGAACCCCTAAGAATACCATCTTTAGAAAGAACAAAATGCAAAACTACAACAAAGAACTGCAGAATGAAATTCTAATCACACAGCACGGGCACAGTATTCATGAAATTAGAATAAATAAAATAAATAAAAAATTAAAAAATGAACTAATAAACAACCATATCCAACAAAACAAACATAGATTTTCAAAAGATAAACCCGGAACAAACAGTTCAATATTTTAAAGGGTAAATTATATAAATAGTCCTATAGTTTACACGGTGTGTCTATTGTTTTAAGTTGCTCGATTTTGCCCGTTAATTTAACGGATTCTGTCATTTCAATACAATAAATAACGGTCGTTAAGTTTGATGGACGGAAAGTCAAACTATGTGTATATTTGGTCTCTGTATTTACATAATGTGTCAATTTGGTCCCCATCAAAATCGAACAAATCAAATCAAAACAACAGGATCAAATTGACATATTGTGTAAACTACACGACCAAATTAACACATTGGGTAGACTTTTTATTCACCAAACTTATTATTTATTGGACTAAGATGAGCCAATCTGTTAAATTAAGGGACAAAATCAAGCAAATTGAAACAACATGACCAAATTGACACATCGTGTAAACTACCGGACCATTTGCATAATTTGCCCTATTTTAAATATTAAATAAATAAACTTTGTTTTATTTGGTTTTCAGAATCAGTTTTCTGAAGAAAAAAAAATCAAAATTCCAAAAAACTAATTTGGCGTTAAAAAAAAAAAAATCAAAAACACTCATCATCAAGTGGTGTCATCTTTTTCGAGTGTGAAATTAATTTTTGAAAATGAAGAATAATTTTTTTTAATGTTTATTTCTGTCAAACTAGTTTCTACATTTTCGAACAAGAAAAAAAATTAAAATTCTGAAAACAGATTCTGAAAATCAAACCAACCAGAAAGCAGTAACAAGTAAGTGAATCAATAACAAGTTGCCAAAATGTGAATCAAGCTCAAATAAGAAGAATTGAAATAAAATAAACAGACAAAAAACACAATTAAATGTTCAACTCACTGGAAGATAATCAAATATAATCCATTTCATGAAGCTGTTTCTTCTTCCAAAGATTAACATTGATTGATTCAAAGAAGCGAACAAGGCATTTGCTCAATGAACATAAACACAGACAAGTGCATATAAAGCGTGAGCGTTACGGAATGGAAAAAAACTAACTGTAACTGATGAGAATCAACATGAAAGGAACGAGAAACCAGAGGAGAGATCGAGACGATGAATGAAGAACAAATTAAAGGAGCTTGGGGAAGAAAGTAGATCTGTACGAATGTGTTAATTGTTGGCTTTAGAGAGAGAAAGAGAGGATGGGGTGGAGGAGAGAGAAGAAAATATCTGCAGAGAACTTACGCGTTGGAGGAAAAGAGGAGACGTAGATCTGCTGCGGTAGGGTATTTTGTGTGTTGCTACTACTGGACACCTGTCGGTTAACCCGTCCAGGTTGCGATGCCATGTTGGCGTTTTTTTTTAAGATAAAATTTACTCATCGTGTGCATTTCTAATGATATATATTTTTTTTTTTATGAGTATTATTATTCAAATTTACAATTTTGATTCACTTTTGAGATTAAGGGAATAAGTGTACTTTTTAACTTTTTAAAGTAAAGAGTTAAGGAAAAAAAACATGGTTGTTTGAGATAATTTTTTGACTTTTTATAAAAAAATATGTATTAAAAAATTGTATAAATTAATATATAAGAGAAGTTTTTTGGTGAGCATGCAATAGTACAGTGGCAGCTAGGGGTGTTCGCGGATCGATTTTGTGCGGTTTGCGGTTCGATTTTGACCCATCCGCATCTATGCGGTTTGGGAAAAAGTCAACCCGCAACCGCCCGCAGTGCGGTTTGCGGTTTGTGCGGATAGGGTTTGCAAATGTGCCGGCGGTTTGCGGTTTACACTTTTTTCTTTAAAAATTAATTTTCGAGTTTTTTTTTTCCCAGCGAATTTAGGCATTAGATTCATTTTATATATTTGTGATAACAATTTTTGATGAGTTTACAAATAAAAAATTGAATATCAATGCATTAAATGAAAGTACCCAAAACAAAGAGATCCTACACTAGCATTTTTGCCATGAAAAAATGTATATCAATGCATTAAAGGTTGTACTCAATTAGAATTGTCAGTTCAGTAATCAATAATCAAACTATAAGTTCTATCGACCATTAGAAGGAAAATTTTATTAGGAAAAAGTGGATGAATCACCAATGAAAATCATATAAGAAACCAAGTTTAGGACTTGATAATTTTACGGCATTAAGAAAGTTGAGAAATACTTAAAAATAAGGATCCTAGTGTCATAGAGAATATAATGGTGCTCTTGTAAAAGTTACAAAGTTGGTATATAAAAAAAAAATTATAATAATAATTAAAGTGCAGGCGGTTTTTGCGGGTTGCGGGTTTAAACCGCGACCCGCCCGCAACCCACAAATTTGTCATATTTCAAACCGCATCCGCCCGCATTATGTTTGCGAAACCGCCCATTTATATGCAGGTTGGGCGGATTGGACGGTTTGAGCGGTTCGGATAAACCGTTGCTCACCCCTAGTGGCAGCATTGTGCAAAGTAGTGTATAGGAGATGCTTGCCTTTTTTTCGGGCATTGAATTGAAAGGTGTTGTTCAGCCCGTGGGGGCACGCCATGGGTCCCGTTTTACTAATCAGAACCGTCAATATGTAGAACTCGTCGAGTACTATATATTTACAAAAAATCAAGTTGATCGAATATCGATAGCTATCTGATCGGATTTGTTTTTTTGTCAAACGTTAACTATAACACCATCCATTTTTTATACAAAAACTAATTTGATCATGTAATTAGCGATATCCGATCAACGTGATTTTTTATTATTGTATAGTATTCGACGAGTTCTACACATTGAACGGTTTAGATTATCAAAACAAGATATATATACTTGGTATCTCTGAGGAAGCATGTAAATGAAGATTTTTGTTTTTGATGACTGAAAAATAAAATCTACTAGAGGCCTGATCTTTTCATTGTGTTAGGAACAACAGGTTAAACATAAAATTTTGTCACGTGACATTTGAGCTGGGTAATAGTGCCTAGATGTCTTTAAGGGTGTTGTGTTGACATTTTGATAAATCAGAAGAGAAATTTTACAAAATATGGGTTTTCTTTAAAGAAGAAACATTTCAAAACTCAAAAGTAGTGTAGCAAACATGAGGATGTCAACATGCTCTCTAAGCAAAGGACTAAATTGATATGACCATTTAAGGTAAAATTCAGCCCAAAAAAAGAATATATCAAGAACTGGCTCATCTAGTTAGGTATTATGCTTCTGAGACATGTGACCTGTCAGTATTTTTACAGTGAAAATGATAGAAACCCTAAATCCAAGAAAATAGCTATAGGTCTAATCTCCATTTATGGAAGAAGCTACTGTTTAAAGCATTTTCATCTCATTTTAGCATACTTGCTCTTTCTTTGCCCTTTAGCCTGCCAATGTCTGTCACGTGAAAAGGCCAGCAAGACGGCAGCTATTGGTTCTGTTTTGATTTCCTGATATTAAGATTCCGTGAAGATATGAAATCTAAAGCATGACCTGTTTTGTACTTTCTTGATCAGCATTTACTGGTTTCAGTTATGGTTTCACTGTCCCATCCATCCCCGATATGATTATATTACCAACCCTATCAGTGCATTCTCCATATTCTCAGTGGGATATAATCATTGTGTCAAAGTATTAAGTCGTATCTCTTTGATTGCTTTTGCAGTGCTCAGCTGTGCAAGTACTGGTTCCGTTATGTGATCTTGATGGTAATATAGACTATTATCCCAAAGATGAAATTGTTATCTTGTGAAAAAAAACAAAATAACATACAACTATAGAGACTCATATACCCAAGGGGCTCAAATAATTTTTCGTGTGTTTTTTTTGTCATACAAAAGAAATACACACCATAGCCTTATTTTTTTAGAAAAATTGATACCAAACAATAACATGTAGGCCCAAAAATCAAATGGACCAAGCCACTTTACAAATTTTATGGCCCATTTGTTAGCCCACTCGCAACAAATGGGCTCAGCCATGATATGGCGGCCCAGATTATTCAGTTGCTAGGCTGGAGCTTGCATTGTTATTTTTTTCTTTTTTAAATGGGAAACTTACCAATAATTCCATATAACAAGTTCAAAACTCATCTAATCCCAAAACAAAATACTTAAACTAATTAGTCTTATTTATTTTTAATTATTACAAAAAAATCTTTTTTTTTAATTTACAGACGCTGCTACATCCCGCTCCCCTCAGACTTCTGTCAGACGGTCATCAGAAACTCGTCGGAATATTCAACATCACCGAGAAGCCGCCGGAGTATCGTTGAAAGTTCATCGGAATGTTCTGAATGTCAATTGAAGTCGCCAGAATTTCCAAAATGTTTGTTGGACGTTAAGAACATTGTTGGAGATTTACCGGAATGTCCAAAATATTGTTAGGAAAAAAATGAATAAATGGAGAAATTAGAGCAAAAAAACATAGAAAAAATGTGCCAAAATATTGATAAACTACAAGAAAGAAAAAAATGTAACGACAAAAAACAGCAACAATAGGAAAAAAACGTATGTTATTTTTCAATGTTTATAGGGTTTAAGCAAATAATCTCCAATATTAATCAAACTGAAAAGTAAGCTCTGAACCTGTAAAATGTTACAGTTTCAAAGCAAAAATCTATTAAGCATTTATCCTTATTAATCAAACTAAAAAACATGTTATGAAATTACAAAATTTTACAATTTTAAAGAATGTTATAAAACTGAAAAATTTTGCAGTTTTAAACCATGATTCATTCTAACATCAAAAAAATTGAAATTGCAAAATTTTATAGTTTTCACCGCCTGTAACTAAAATTCGAAAACAACTTATTCAGAATTTGAAAATTTTTTTCATTAAAACAAGAAAAGAGAAGTGCATAGTAAAAAAAATTAAGAGAACGAATGAGAGAGACAGATACAGAGAAAGGATTGTACTCCGGCAACTATTTTTTATATTAGATCTAGCCGGATCTGATGTAGATCTACTTAGATTTGATGTAGATCTATATCAGATCTGAGTAGATTTACTCATCTTTTTCGTCGGAAAATATCTTTCTTCACCGTTGGTGAGAGTAAAGTAAGGAGTCGGTGGTGGTGATTGCTGATGAACCTTAATCAAAGGTAGTCGTTGGTTGCTAGTGACTATATCATAAAGATAAAGAGAAAAAGCAAGACGTGGTTGCTCGTCAACGATCGCTGGAAATCAGAAAGACAAAGAGGCAAAAAACAACGAAGGCAGAGAAACAGAAAAAGGTTACAAGACTTTCGAGTATAAACAAAAGGTTGTGAGACTAAATAGGCTACACCTTTTTCAATGAGGACTTTTTAGTAATTGCCCTTTTTTAAATTAGGTAAAAACAAAACAATCCAAATAATGAGATATACTTTTTATTTTTAAATTAGATGAAAAGTAAAAAAAAAAGAAAAGAAGAAGAGGTATCAACACGTGCATGATTTCTGAGATGGATTTGCATCCTCCCGAATACATTTGGATCAACTATTAGATGATAGCTGCATAAAAAAAAGTTTTAGAGTGAATGTTTTTCTTCTTCTTAAATAGACAAAAGTCAATTGATTTTGAGTTAAACAAAGAAAATAAACAGTTTTGGTGAAACCTTTTTTATCTTTGAAATCTATTTATTCCATCTTCTATGATCAATCCTCACTTTTGTGAAAATGTCATTATCAATCAATCCATGTGCATAAGCTTAATCTCAAATAAAAAGGTATTTTGAAAAGATGGTTAAAAATTAAATTTTTTATTTATTTTTATCTTTTTTTAAAAAAATCGTATAAAAAATGTAAGAAATGATATACCCAAAATAAGTTAAAAATTTAAAAATAACTTTTAATCCACTTTTTAAAAGAGGCCAAACTAGATCATGAATTTTTAACTTTATCATAAAATATATATATATATATTTTTATTATCTCTATATTGAGTAGTGTTACTTTTATGATTATTTCTTAAGAGAAAAGTATCGTGAGGAAAATTAACACCACATTGAACATTTTGGGTTTGTTGATTGTGGAATTGAAAATTTTAAGAAAAATGATAAAAGTCGCTCTATAAATATCCCGTTTCCTAAATTTTTATTAGAAAAATGAATATCATGGGCCATTTATATTCTAATGCAAATATTCAAAATATAAAAATATTTAAATATAATGTTACAACTTTTATACCAGTGTGAAAATTATTTTCATAGTATTATAACTATACATTATCAAAATAATAAAATAATAATTAGCTGAAAATCAAAATTTATATCCGTCTTAATAGGTTAGTTTGGTTCCACCAATTTTGTCTTCCACCAT